AATATTCAACTGGAGGTAAAAGAGTTTATATTAAACAATTATTTGTTATTAATAATATTATTTGTTGCTAACAACAATATTTTTTACAGATACCTTACTTTTTTATCGTTCCGGCTGCTGTATTATCCGATTCTTGTGTGTTGGTTGGTATATCGGAAGCTTTAGTGCAAGATGTTCGAAGAAAAACTTATAGCAGAGATTGAAAAACACAACTGCTTGTGGGACAAACGACAGCTTAGTTACCGCGATCGGGTGAAGAAAGATTTGGCTTGGCGAAATGTAGCTGCTGCTGTGGGACATCCTGGTTAGTATAGAGTTTTTCAAACATATAGCAGTTTTGTAATAGGACGAACCAAATTATAACAAATTTGTGACGAATTATTGTGACGAATACTATATTTTTACTTTACAGAGGAAAACTGCCGAAAGCGATGGAAATCGTTAAGAGACCGATATGGAATAGAATTGAAGGTTGATCAACAACCTAGCGGAAGTGCTGCGTCGTTTTTGAAAGACACGGTCACGCCCAGACAGTAAGTGTACTTTACATTTGTACAACAAGTATTTATATTTTAAATTGTAATTTATATGTACATATTTTAAGGACAACAACAAACATCGTCTCCCAAACGCCAGAAGTTCTCGGACAAGAACCAGATATACTGGATACTTCCTTTGGATTCCAAATAGGCGAGAGTGGGAACATTATAATAGAAGAGCAAGAAACCACTGCCCCAACGCCGGCTAAGAGACAAAAGAAAAAAAAAACGATGAGAACGCCGCCTTTAACGATCTAGTCAACGAAGTAAGTCAGTTTGTGGATAGTCAAAAAAAAACACACAACAATTTCTTGGGTGCGATTGGCGAAGTGTTTGAGAAGGTCCCAGAAGAGAGCCGCCTAGATTTTCAAATGGACGTACTTCAATACGTCTATGCTCAATATAAAAATTATAAAAATTGAATTTACGAAATTTAAAAATTTAAATGACATCCAGTTTGAATTCAATTTTGCGAACTTTATATGTAATCTAATTTAGTATGAAATCTGATTTTGATTTTGCGAATTAAATATGTAATCGAATATATATGTAATATATAATATATATATGTAATGTAATAATATGTAATAAATATGTAATCGAACCTGAAAGATGTGACGACATTTAAAACATTACCAATAAGTGCCCTCATACTGTGAGTTCAAATTTTTGTTTTCTATCTTAATTAATAAAAACAAAGCATATTCAGTGAGTAGTAATTATTTAAATTTTATTGTTAAAAAGATGTGTCTTCAGAGCATCCCTTAAATCATAATTATTTGAACTGCCTCGGTTCGATGACACCCTACTTATTGAGGGCAATGGAACTACTTCGTTTCGCCATGAGCCAGCGATGGTGGCATCCTCTTCGTAGCGATCAACAAAATCGCTTGCTACATAGTTTGCACACGAAAGCTTAATAAAATTATGCAAGACAATACAAGCTTTCACTATTTGTTCTGCATTTTTCGGGGCCATGCATAGCGTCGTTCCCAATATTCTCCATTTGGCAGTGAGTATTCCAAATGCGTTTTCTATAACTCTTCTTGCACGAGAGAGTCTTTTATTGAAATACTCTTGCTCTTCTGGAATACCTCTACCCGGATATGGTCGCATTAAATAACGCCGTAAGGGAAAAGCAGCATCTCCTACTAAATAATGTGGAAATGGTTCGGTTTCTCCTGGCAGAGGCTGATCATGTGGAAGGCCGAGCCTATCATTTTCAATAGCATCTGCCAGTTTTGAAAAGTGGTAGACACCGCCATCGCTTTGACTTCCATGTGCTCCGATGTCAACGCAGGTAAAGGTATAATTGGCATCACATACGGCCAAAAGCACGATACTATAATTGCCTTTGTAATTATAGTACATCGACCCTGAATTCGCTGGACAGGTAATATTAATGTGCTTTCCGTCGATGGAACCAACGCAGTTGGGCATATTCCACAGCGACTTGAACTCATTGGAAATACGTCCCCATTCCGTTTCTGACGGGGTCGCCACATACAGGTCAGCTAACAGATCCCATATGGTCATACATGTCTCCAACGTAATCTTCCTGAAAGTCGTCAGGCCGATCCTGTGAACTATTGTGTGGATTTGCCGAGTGCCACCGTGAGCCAAATATCTGCAACAAAAAAATAAAACCAGATACATATATGGAAAATTATACGTATACTATTAAGTAAAACCGATTTTCTCTTACATCAGGGTTATAAATAGTCTGCAGCGGCTCGATATTGGTGTTCTGATTGAATATTTGGTCAGCGAAGCCTCCAGAAATTCGTGCAGCACATTAAATAACGAAAAGGGCATTCTTAATGTCTTGTTAAACTGCTCCTCATCTGCAGCCAAGTTTCTTAATGAACTTTCAAACAATCCATATTTGTGTCGCTCTAAGTACAATTTCCGAACCCAAAATCGGCGCTTCTGTTTTAATCGCAGTTTTAATTTACGCATTTTCGCTAAAATTAGGAAAATTCTCAAAACTTGTTCAGCATTTCGAGTCAACATTTTGTACTGCCAAATGAAACATTATGAAAACCAACGAATCTGGTGGCCGGAACGATAAAAAGCAAGGT